GTCAAATAATTCTAAAAATACTTTCATAATAGAACATTCAAACGTATATTGTATGATTTTACAATTTGCGAATAATGGAAATTTACGTGAATATTTAAAAAATAACTTTTCAAATCTTGAATGGACTGACAAATTACGAATAGCTCATGAAATATCAGCTGGCCTTGTATTTTTACATAAAAATAATATTATTCATCGAGATCTTGTAAGTATTAATCTCTTTGATTATAAATAAAACAATTATATATGCAATTTAATTTTAGTAATGATAACGCTTTTTATTTTTTAATAAAATAACTCTTTAGCATTCTAAAAATATTTTAGTTCACAATGAAAATATACTGATTGCAGATTTTGGTTTATCAAAAGATGAGAATTCGAATACCTCAAATTCTAACTTTGATGGATTAGTCGCATATCTTGATCCGCAACTTTTCGCATCTGGTTCTTATAAACCTAACAAGAAGTCTGATATCTATAGTTTTGGAATAATTCTTTGGGAAATATCAAGTGGCCAACCACCATTCCAATCAATTCATAAATTTCGTATTCCTTTTCACGTATTAGAGGGAAACAGGGAAATACCTATTAAAGGCACACCATCACTATATATTCAACTTTATCAAAAATGTTGTGACATTGATCCGAAACGTCGTCCAACAACGGAAAAAGCTTTTAAAGAACTTGAAAACATAAAATTAAGTAAGGTGAACCCGAAAATATTATTATCACTTATTTTGTACCCTATTATTTTTATCCTAACAAAGACTCTATATTATTTAACTCGTATTTAGGTAATCGAGATGAATCTAATGATAATACAGATGATACACCTAAAAACTTTAATTCGGACAAGCGATTATCAGAAACGATTCTTACTCTAAAACAAACTTTAAAACCTATAAACGGCTTATGTATGAAATACTTGAACGCAGGAAAATTGGAAATACAGGGACATATAATAGTATGGAAAAAAATTTTTAGGTCTCTGGAAGACTAAAACCTCATGCACGTGATGTGAGTGAGCTACTGATTAGACCCCAAAATTAGTCAATCACGATTCAAGATTACCGGACAAAATTTTGTTTAACAAATCGAATTTTCAGAAGAACGACTTTTTTAACTTACTCTGGGCCTATAATTAAATATGTAGAACATTAATTATAGGTTAAAGGTAAGGTTTAAAGGACGTTTTCTTAAAAAATTGCTTCCGAATTCACCCTTGATATTATTAAACCCATCGTTCAATGACAAACCCATCCTTCAATACCCAAACGTCCCAACAATAAGTGATGTTATTTATTTCTACGGCTTAATATAGCTGTTTTATTTGTTTTTATTTACTTTTTAACTCTTACATGTACTAGATTGTAACAAATTTATTGAAAAAGGGCCCAAAATCCAATTGGCCGATATAAAATTGATCACATGAAATGAAAGCACTTCTGATTAGTGCATCATTGTTAAGTAGTCCTCATACGATATCAAATACTGAAATATCACGATCAGATATCTTTTTCGTCTGAAAAAAAAAGAAAAAAAATGATATTTCAGTGCGAAGATGCTGATTCACGCGTGGCTTTTCGTTCAATAAATCAGCATAACGTTGATGATTCAATTAGGCTGATGTCAATGTGCCCGACAATGGATTTAATCGCCGTTTGTACTGAGTCGGGGTGTGTTTGGGTAGCAAGGTGGTATAACGCCTTGGAAAAAATTTGGACTTTACCTCCTAGTCAAGATAGAGAGGAAACTGTTGAAGTTTTCACCTGGAGACCCGACGGTTCGTTCCTTATTGTAAAAAAATTAAGTTTACAATTTTTTTTTTTAAACTCTCTTAACTTTTAGGAAAAGTCATTGCTATCGGTTATTCAAACGGAATGATACGACTTTATAATGTGGATAAGTTAGAAATGATACATGAATTAATCCAAAAACCATCATCAAAATCGTTTGGAATAAACTTCCTTCTCTGGGTACAGGAAACAAAAAAAGACTCGGAGAATATAAAGTATTGACAATAGTCGATTTATTTTTTTATTTTTTCTGAATTTTTCATTGAATTTTTTTTAAAAAAATAGTGAAGCGACAAATGATTTTTTGATGAGTGCACATCCTATTCAGAAATATTTGCCTCGACTAAACACTATGCCAAATGCCAAGCCAATTAGGTTAGCTATTCATGCATAAACATGATTATATTTTAAATTAGAGATCTTTAGCTGTATAATATTAACAATGACAAAATAATAGCAAACTCTTAGGAGATTTGAATGGATATGATGATGATTTGGATGATGAGTCGTCCGGCTCAATCGATCTGCTTTTAGCAGGTGACGCGGGCGGAAATTTACATTTGAGGTGGATCTTTTCTCTTTTATTATATAGAAATAAAAATTTGAAATTATGGTCAGAAATAATTAAATCGACGCGAGTATGTTGATTCAGCGTGTACGGAATATATAACTTACAACCAATATCTTTATCTCAGCATATTAAAATAAAGGTAATTTTTATTAAATTCTAAAATTGTTATGATTTCGAAAAAGTTTTATATAAAATATTTATTGGACTCAATTGGGTTGATAGAACGCGATTATAATAAAAGCGTCAGTTACACCGGATCTTTCTCTCATAACGTTATTAATACAAACAAATGATTATTCTACCTCTTCAGCAAGCGTTGAGCCCCGTGTCGATCGGTTATTTTTTGTCACATTTAATACCGGCTTATTGTACACTCAAAAACTTGAAATTCGTACTTTATCCCAAAGATACACTGCAATTAAATATTTGACAGATTATATATTCAAAGGAATCAAACATATTGAATCTGAATATCAAGATTTGAAAATTTTAACAAGCAAATTTGTTGAATCCTTTCAAGAAGTATTGGAAACACATAATTGTAAATAAATTATACATAGAATGTTTTTCAAATATTATCGATTTACACTTACAAATAATTATTATAATGATTGATCGTAAGGAAGCAAAATCAAAATTATCAGCCGAGTTTGTCCGTTTGTTAGCTACTGGGAAACCAAGCACTTTGCTGGATGAATATATAGAAACACATCTCACAAAACGGGTATATCATCTGTTTCGTATAGTATTATTAATTCTTCCTAAAATATTTTCATTATTGGCTTATAAATTTGTGATAATTTAGGCATTGAAAGATTGGGAAAGCAAAGGCCAGAAAACATTTGATCAAATTAGGGAATACATTAATCATTACGTGCGTATAGGATGTGAAAGATTGATTATAGAATTGAATGCATTAGTTGGATTTAGTAAATGGTATCCAATTTTTATTCAATTTTTATTGAAATATTTGGAAAATTTCGTTCACTCCTGATAAAACACTTCAATTCTAGGCCTCAAAAATTTCAAAAGCTCGGACTCGATGAATCATTTATTCATTCTTGCGTGATCTTAACTGGGTGTATAATTTCACGTTTGGAAAAATTAAACTCAGTTATCGATGAAGAGTATATCAATTTTCTAGAATTTCATCAATGGCTCCAATTTGGTAGATTTATTTAATGTATTTCGTATGATCAAATGTTGAAGCATTCACGTTAATGCGACTCTATAAATATTTATAGAAATCGATAATATAACTTCTATTGAGCAAAGCACTAATCCTGAAGCTTCACCTCGTGTGGATGTCCATAAAGTCTCTTCATATATAAAAAATTCACTTGGCAAAGATTTTTTAAATGATTTGGAAAAATTTTTCGTGGATGATCAACAATCTTCAACAATAACATTACCTACATTTGAATTTCCGTTTTTATCAAGTAACTCTTTAGATAATTGTAACCTTTTTCAATGCAACTCATTTCAAAGCAGCGAGTTGCCAGCATATCCATACAATTATCTTTCTTCCAACAATTCATTTCAGCGTTCACCAAGTTTTGAGTCTTTTGTTACCGAATTGATTAAACGATGTGACGCCTTATCTTCTTGGACAGCTGATAATGTTGCAAAATCTGTTAAGGCACATGAACTTGTGGATATAGTCGAAGACCTTACTAATTATTGTCCTGATAATCAAAATATTCAACATGCAATGCGAGAAGTCAGTCAAAGGGAAAAGAACCGATCCTATAATATATTTTTATCGGATATGAGAATTGTAACCGAGGTATGTATATTAATATCTATTCTGGGCTTTAAAATATCTTTGACATTTCGTAATAATTAAATCTATAGGGTTTGAGAACAAACGCATATGTAACATTTTATTTATCACAAAACCGTCATATTTCTCCAACATGTAAGCTTGATTTTTTTTCGATTTTACAATATATTTTATATTTATGAAATAATAAAACTAATCTAAGACATTAAAATTTAAAGTGTGGGTCCTCCGATTTCCTTTGTATGCGACGACTTCCGAAAGTTATACTTCATTAAATAAAACCAGTGAGATTGCTTGTATCCAGTTAGTGAATAATGAACATCCTGAAGAGTACTTGTCGATCTCTGATCTGAACCTTTATGATGATGAAAGAATGTACATGATTGTTGTTGGATTAGAAAATGGTGATTTAGCAATTATATATGTTTGTTTCATTGATATACAATTCCATAACTCATATAATGATTTCCATGTAATAGAAGATGTGTTGATTCTCTTATCAGAAGTGAAATATTCTGAGTTGAATTTTATATCAACCCCCAATACACCACTTTTAGTTCAGAGATTTCGTGATCTCACTCACTTTAAACCATTACAGCTAACTACAAACGGGGCAAGAGGGTTAATTGGAACTCTCAGTGATGATAAAAAAAGTATTATCATATTTGATACGAATGAAAAAGAAGATATATACGATATGAAGGATGATGATGAAATTATAAAGATGATGGAAGAATAGTACATTAATGAAATTGATTACAGTAGGGCGCTTTTTCACTTAATTTATAAACCTTTTCTAGTCATATAAGTAGAACTGTGAACAATAAAAATGACAGTCTTAATCAATTATTTGAGTAATTTCTATTAAAAATAGGTTTTAATTTAATGATAAATGCTAGTTACTGTAAAATTTACTAGTGTATGTTTTTTAGGGTTGTGGGCACGGTGTTCCAAGGCGTGCATGCCCTTACTCTTTTATATAGAAAAGCCTCACATATGAAGTTTCATTGATTTGATTGGTCAATTATCATAGTTGATTTGACATAATCAATTATGTTATCTAGAGAGGGCATGCCCAGGGCACAGAGAGGCATGCCCTCGACAAAGGCATGCCCTCCTAGGCATGCCCAAAAAATTTTCCGTGCCCTAACCCTAGCACGGTGCACTGTTTAGTCCTTTCCTTAAAAAATTATATAAAATTTTTTTCTTTTATTTAAAAAAAAGATCACCCGGATAGTAAATTTATTTAAAAATTTTTCTTAGGTTTAGTAAAATTTGACCCGGCCAGGTTAAAAATTAACTTTGCTTAGCCTTATATGTTAATATAGAAAAAAATTTAATTTTATAAAAAAGTTACCTGTTCGGGTAACAAGAACCAATTTTATTTGTTTGCATGGCCTAAGGATATATCTAAATTTATGTAAAAACTTCTATTATGATCGAAAAACAATTGTATACTTCGATAGTAATGTAGCTTTAGGATCTTATCAGGATATGGTGCGTATACCGATTTTTTTTTTCTATCTTATGTAGGGATGGGCAAATTTTTTACATATTCAATAAATATTCTTATGTATTTTTATTGCTGAATATGTAATAATGGGAAATTATATCGTCATTTATTACCGCTAACTTTAATTAAATTTTTCAAAATTTCAAGAACAGATTTAATCTTTTATTTAGTGATCGATTTTCTCTTAAAAATATGTAATAAATATGGATTAAAAAATACATACTGATGATATAAAAAATTACATTGCTCATCTCTAATCCTATAGTAACAAACATCAGGAATAGTATTTTTGCATAACTGATAATGATGCTAATATTACAACATACAGTATTATAAAAATCAATTCATTAGGTAAATACATAATAAATACGTGTGTTTAGAGATCGGAAAAATGAGTATTTTGCCCATCTCTACGTGTATTAATAAATGACATAAATAAAGGCAGTAAGCAATTCGTTTAATAAAGTTATTATTATTGAAAAATAAATTAAAATTTACTATGTACAGTGTTTAAAATAAAGAGTTAATTCGTGATCCACGTGGGAACTATAGAAATATCATAACAGATAAATGATAAGAAAAAGCAGGGCCTTTTTTGGAATCTGAATATTCCTGAAAGATAACTTATTTTTTTATTAAGCAAACCTTATACGTATATGCTTTTAATAAAAGTGTAAAGGCAAAATTTCTGGTCATAATGGTAGTTAAACCGCTAATATCGGCCTAGTTGATCGCGAGATACGAGTATTTTAGTCTTCGCGGCTATATACTGTATTTACTTTGTTTTGATAAAGAAGTAAACATGTAGCCGCGAAGACTAAAGTGCTTATATTCTGCGATCCACTGGGCCGATTTTATCATTTTAACTAACATTATGACCAGAATTTTTTGCCTCTACAACTTTTATTAGAAGCACAAGTGAGGTTACTTAGCATAGGTAAAGTTCTTGATGATTGGTTGTTTATTTTTTTTGAAAAAACACTGTTACACGAATTTTTATATTGTTTATAATAGTGATTTGACCTGAGAAAAAGAATCACCAATCGGTTAACCGAACCGAATTATTCTTCTCAACCGATTACAATAATTAAAAAAAAAAAACCGAATTAAAAAACTATACTTCTGATTTTAACTGATTAATAAATAATCTTCAAACTCACCAGCTAGAATGAAATGATTTGAAGGATAAATAAGTATTGTGAGAGGCAAAACGTGACCTAGCTGTAGGCACGTGAGTAAGTGAGAACATGTGATCTAGCCGTAGGCACGTGGGAAACATGATCATGACCCGAACCAAGGTCCCGAACCGAAGCCTCCCGAACCAAAGCTAAGCCGCAGGATCCCGCATGTGAAATAGCATTTAATAATATGCTATATTGGGTTTAGCTTGAGGCGAAGCTCAATGAGAACAATTGAATAACGGCTTTATGTCATAATCATATAAATAAATCATTGTAGCTTGTAAATCCCCCCTCCGATACTCAATTTAGTTAAGCTGTGTCAAAGCCTCCGCTGTATTTCTCTTGTATAAAAGTCCTGTAATTTCTTTTAGTAAAAAGGAAGTTAAGTAGAGATAAGTTATCGTATAAAGACACACCGTAAAACCAGGATCTAGTGGCAGTAAGATCCTTGGTTCTCGGACCAAATCTTCCACGCCTCTCTTTTGAGTTGTTTTGTGTCTTTGCGTTACGTTTGTTACGTTTTAACCATGAGGGACCCGGTAGCCCCAAATCCGCCCCTCTCAGTATTTATGTTCATTTGGTAATTTTAATTTCACCGATAATAAATCATTCGTTGAATGAAATGATTTGAAAGGTATTGGGTAGTGGTAAATAAGTGTTTATGAGTTGCTGATTTTAATTCCACCGATTAATAAACCATCTTTATACTCACTTGCTGGATAAAATTGATCAATAAACAAAAATGCAAAAATCAAAAGGCAATGTCACATTTTTATACTGCCACATAAGTTAGTCAATGAGATACTAACTGCAAAAATATGATCATAAAAGGTTTACGACGTATATTAAGAGATTTTCCTTTAATATTAACTACATAAATGGAAAAACTTTTTTGAATTAAAGTGATATTCTTCTTGGGTTATATTTTTTGTTGAGAACGTTTGCGAAACACAATAATTAAGAAAAATACGATGGTTATTTTGAATCTACTGATATTCCAAATCTTCTTAGATTAGCTTCTTTTAAGCCAACGGGTTGTTGACTCTAATTCTTAACCGTTCAACCGTATTTGTCTAATTCGGATCAGTTAACTGGTTAAGCACCAACTGGATGTCTGAAGCGGAGTAGGTTAACAAAATCGATAAAATTATTATTAACTTTAGGGTTAGGCCTAGATTAGAGTTAGGGATAGCTTGTATATAGGTAAAATTACCTTTCTGACATTTTTTATTAGTGTATCGAGACAGGATTAGATAGCCGCTTTTTGTATTTTTTTGCGTTTTTTATTTTTTTTTGCTTCGCTAGTCAAAAAAAATTCGTGATTTGATTAGTTAATTCATGTAATTCTACTTTGCTTTAGATGCCTCCCAAAAATGGATAATGTAAATTATTCTTTCAATGCATATTTTTGTATCCTAATTTAATTGTTTATTTTGTGATCTTTATTAAAATTTTTTTGATCAGAATCATTTCACGTTCAAAAGTAAACAATATAGTTCAATGTGTATTTTTGTATTCTAATTTGATTGTTTATTTTGTGATTTTTCTCTATTTTGATCTGATTAATTTTGCATTTTAACATCATAAATTTTTTTATAAATGATCTAATTTTGCTGTTTTTTTAGATCAATATTCAATATTTTTTCTATTTTTTTCTTTTTCTCTGGTAAGTTTGGATTTGTCAAACCTCTTCTCATTGCTTTGCTTCTTACTTGCAGATTACTTAGTTGAAAATATGAAGAAGTAGTTATGTTAGCTTGAGATAGTAATAATTATAGAGCATAGCTAGGTTTTAGTTTATCTAAGTAAAAATTGCTAATTTCCATTTTGCCTTTTTTATTATTTTTTTTTTTATAAAAAATGTTTTATCATTATTGTCATAATTATTGGTATTTTTTTTGTTTTCAAAATTTGAAAAAAATAATGGTAATAGTAATAACAATAATTATATTAATTATGCTAATAATAATATAACTGTTTTACAAAAAAATTATAAATCTATTTATTCATAATAAATAAATTAATTTTTAGATAACTGATAAATTATTTTAATTATATTTTCAAATTATAATAAATAATCTTATTAATTTTATTAATAAATTTTCAAAATTTACAATTAAAAATAAAAATTTTTAATTATATATTTAATATTAAAAAAAAAAATTTATTTATCAAAATTTTATTTAATTTTTATATATCTGTATATATTTGTATAATTATACAGTACTATTTTATTAATTACCTATTTTAAAACTCTATTTTATAGTTTAATTTTGAGATTTATTATATTTATAAAAAAAATATTAATAACTATATTAATAAATAAAGCAAAAAAATCTAAATAGTACTTAATTATATTACTAAAGAGATTCTATTATTTGTTTCTAATCTAATATCAATTTTGTATTTTAATAAAACTAAACCTATAAAAAAAATAGTTACTTAATGAAATCCAATAATCTTAGTATAGTAATTAGATTACTAAACTATTATACAAGAGGTTTAAAGTTCAAATTCTACTATTAAGAAATTTGAATAATTACTCATATCTTGTATTCAACTTTTAGTAAACTTTGTTTATTTCTAGAATTGTAATTCTATAAATCATATTATACTAATATCATTATATATTAGAAGCATAATATAATATTGCATAAATAAATCTTAATAAAATCTATAAGCAAGAGATCTGCAAGTAAAAATTTTGAGTTAGTAATATAGTATAGTTTTCAATAGTTATATTAGCTAACACTTAATCTGAAAAAGACTATTTTAAAAAATATAAATTAGAATAGATATGAATAAGTCTATTTTATAAGGATAAGATTAAAGTTTAAACTATAACTTATAAATAGTAAACAGATATTAGTTGATTAGTAATACTAATTTGATTTGATAGTTAACTGAATTTGAAAAGATCTAACTTATAAAATATTTAGAAAAATCTAAAAACATATACTAGTGAAAAGTTTCAATAGGAACTAAGATTATATAAATATTACAAAAGTCTAAGCTAAGTAAATTTATAAAATAAATATAAACTGATTTAGCAGATATACTTCAAAATTAACTAGTACTACAGATATTTATAATATATTATATACAATATAACTTGAAAGAATCTAAGCTGAAATAGATAAATAGATTTGTAATAAGCTAGCTAGCTTAAATAGTTAGATATTATAGTAATATTAGTTTATAATAGTATAAGTTAGTTAAACAGAATATTTAAATAGATAACTCATAAGCAGATTACAAATATAGTAGTATAGTATAAAATTAATTAAGTAGTCTAATACTTGTATAGTAGATTACTTAAAATAAACAATGACTAAAGTTGTATATATAGCTTGTTATATACTCTTTATATAATTATAAACTATAGAAGATTACCTATATATAACTCTATATATCAAACTAATAAAATATACTTAATAATATAAGCTACCTTAAAAATAAAATAAAAAATAATTACTTAATTAAACTAGTTCTCAATTTTTGTTTAAGTTCAATCTCTATAATCTAGTATCTATTCATATTTAACAAAACTTAAATCTACTAAAAAAAAAAGTTAGTTTCTATTTAAAATAAAAGAAATTAAATATAGAATAAAAAAAATAATACTTATAATCAGTTTTTTTTATTTAAATCTCTATTTTTTAATACTAATTTTGAACTTTAACAAAGTTTAACTCTAAAAAAAAAAAGAAAAGAAAAATTAGAAAAATTAATTTCTACTAATAAGAAAAAAATTAAACAAAAAAAATAAAATAAAAAATTGCAATTTTCTGTTCAAGTTTAAATTTATATCATTCTGTGTTAATTTTGAATCTTAGTAAACCAAATCTACAAAAAAAAAGAATTAGTTTCTCTTAAAAAGAAAAAAAATTAAATATAAAAAAAAAACTAGTATTTATATTAAACTAGTTTTTTAACTAATACTTATGTTGAACTAGTTCTTTATTTAAATTCAAATTTATACTATCCTATACCAATTTTGAATCTTAGCAAAGTTTCAATCTAAAAAAAAAAAATTAGTCTTATTAAAAAAAAAACATTAAGTATAAAATACAAAAGATAAAAACTAATATATACTTACTATTAAACTAGTTTTTAATTCTTTATCTAAATTCAATCTCAATTTTCAGTACTATAGTAAGTTTGTATTATAATAACACCAAGATCTATAGAATAAAAAAAGAGCTAGTTTCTGTAAAAAGAAATTGATACTTATTGTTAGACCTGTTTTATACTGATTTAAATTCTAGAAATTAACAATATTTTTTGTTCAGTTCATAAATGTGATTAGTCAAGTACAACTATTACACAAAATTAATAAAAGTGGTTTACTAATGCCAATAACTAATATATTATTAAAAAAAATACAAGGAAATTTAGTTGCAATATAGTAAAGCGTACGTAAATATACTTAGTAGATATATTTATCTGATCTGCTTAAGCAATATCTTTTTTTTTTATCTATAAATTTAAATTATGTATAAACAGTAGTGATTTGAACTGAGAAAAAATTCCTTAGTCAGGTAACCGAACTGAAATATTTAATGTCAACCGATTGCAACCGATTAAGATTACTTCACACTTTACCTTCAGAAGTTCTCGAATCTTTATTCAAATTTTTATGTTCATTCATTTTCTTTTCGGAAGTTCTCAGATCTTTTGCTTCTTCTTGATGTCATTTACATTCTGATAACTGATTACTGATATTCAATGGTTGGTTGTACAGGTCAACCGATTAAAAATTTACTTAACTGGTTACCTGAAATTTATTCAATTTGGGTCGGTTAACTGATTATAGCCCAACCGGTTCAAATCACTAGTTTATAATAGAACTTTCACTTGAAAGTAGTGAAATTTTCTTATAATTAATCTGACTTAAAATTTCGTCAGATTGTACTTTAAAAACTTAACTTTCATATTCGCATTTGATATCTAGTCAGATCCAGTTGTTCCACCAACTTGTCTTAGGAGCGATTCTGACAATACCAGCATGTAACACAAAGTTAGTATATTAAATTTTTTTTTTTGATTTAAAGTTTCTAATATCACGTGCACAAGTTATAAAATGTGCGAAAGATGACCAAAGTTATCAACTTGTTTTACACTATATCGGGATATCGAAAAGAAATAAAGGATGATCTTTAATTTTAGCCAATCAAACTTCTTGCTGATCAGCCAATAAATCGAACTCGACTTATTCTGGTTTACTTAATAAAAAATAAGTCTTTCGGGAATATACGGTTTCTAAAAAGGCAAAAAATACATAGTAAACTTATGATATTTCTATAGTTTCCACGCGGATCACAAATTAAGTTTTTACTAATAATGAAAATACTTAGGCTAAGCGAAGTTAATTTACTAAATCTAAGAAAAAATTTTTACTATCTGGGTAGTCTTTTTTTAAATTAAATTAAAAGCCGGTGGCAGGTCATTTTTTAAGGAATTTTATGTTATTAGAACCAAAAAATTAACTTTATTTACTCGCACATTAAATTCTTTGATTAATTTAATTGGTCAATGATCGAGTCAACGTAAAATGAAGGTTATAAAATTTTACATTTTTATTAGATGAAATTGACTTAGTCATAAATTTAGAAAGATGAGGATTGTCCACCATACTGAGGAAGCCTCTATAGTAAACTGATTTCTCCCCATTCTCTAATTATATGAATCCATCACATCATCTTGTGTTATAAGGGCCGCTACTGACATAACATTCGATTGTTCAGTATGCTCAATAATCAGAACTGGCTCGTAACGTTCTAAATTTTCAGCGTCATCTTGATCATTATTTTCCATTATCGTTAGACTTCGTGCTTGTTCTACATATTGAAAAGCATTCGCCATACATGCTCGAATTATACTTTCTTTAAGCAATATATTTACTGCCTTTGATAGTTTAGTATCCATCGTTTTAAGCGTGGAAATATCTCTAGTTGACCTTGCTAATTCAATAAGAAATAAGATATACTCATGTACATAAACAAAATGCCTGCCCGCTCTATTGGATTCCAAAAAAAAACGTAAATATTTTCTTTAGTCTACGAGACAAATACTTCTTTTTTTTTTTTTTTTTATAAACGTAAAAATTTACCTTTCAAATTCTGGTTTCCATACGTTCATTACAGATTTATTAGATGATGCTTTTAATTGGAAGAGATTCTGTAGTAACGCTTTTGCTTCTTCCGGTTTTTGTTCAACATGGTTAATTAACCATGCATGCTTAAATGACATACTTAAGGTTAAAGCCAACTGAAGAGAATAAAATAATATTAACCACAATGTTAATTAATACCCACCCTGAATACTGGACGATGGTGCCACTTATTTTTGTCCGCTTTTCTTATATTTTCTAATTTCATACATATAAGATTATATGCTCTCTGATATTCCGGTCTTTGTATATTAAAAACAGAGCCTTCGTTTGTATAATCTATAGTCGCCGTGTCATCATCAGTAAAGCCAATTGATTGCTCAACAAATGATGGCTTTTATTATAAAGATATAAATATATCTCTCTCCAGAGTATGAATTTCACAAGCCAAATAAAGAATAATAAATTTTGCATACTTTAATTTTATTAGTTATTAAATATTTCGCCAGCGAAGATGTCAATTTGTATTCAGCATCCAAAATTTTTTCTTGGCCGGCAATACCTGACCTCTCTGGCGTTCGTGATACTGCTAGTTTGTATAGTTGAATTACCACCTTCAATCGAAAGAACATTTGTTATAAATTGACTAAATAAATGGCAAGTATATATTAAATTAATCATACCTCAGGCTTTTTCCGAAGTCTTTGGTAACATTTGCCAACCATGTAAGGTATTCTACATGACACGGAGAGTTATTTATGATATAGACCAATAAATATTATGGTATGAAAAAAATATGAAATTATAAACACCTCCAATCCCTGACAATTGGCACAGTACTTGCAGAACCATTTGTAGAAGCAACTGAAGAATTGGTTGGAGTTTCAACGGGAGTACCATATGGTGAGTTATGCGCGGTTTCATTGGGCGTATCATTTGGTGTATATTCCGGAGTAATATTAGCAATATCACTTTGTTTCAATAATTGGGATTCAAGTTCCAATGCCTTGCCAAAACAATAAGCCGCAAATTGGCATGCTTGTGTATCATCGGGTTTGCACCAAATTTCCGCATGACAAGGACTTAACGAGAAGGCTTCCATTGACATTGGTTCCGACATCATTGCATACACTTGATAACCATAATCCCGCCAAAAGTTGATCTCTTCGATCGGTGTGGTTAATTGTTGGTTTGAAAACAAATGTATCACTTTGGAAGCTCTCGCAAAACATTGAAACGATTTCTATATTAATCGACAATATTGATATTATTTACATATTGATATTAGTAATAAATTCGAAATAAACAGAAAAACCTTTTGATAATTGGCGATTTCGGCCCGATTATCGTTAATCTCAGCAGCACTCCAGGTAAGGTTTTCATCAGCCAAATTTGCATAACAAATACCCAATGCGTACCATGAAGCAAACCTTAGTGGATTATTTCGAAGATCAAACTATGAACAAAGACAATTATTAATATCAATTAACAAGAAATAATTTCGCTTGAAAAGTATGTAATCTGATTACTGTAAATTGTTCAATAGCCTTTTCTAACATATCGACAGCCTTATTGACATTAGCTTTTGATCGTGTTTTAAACTGATTTAAGAGTATTTTGCCTCTAAAATAATATAGATCGGCGAGAGCTATTTATTCATACAAAATTATTTTTGATAATAAATAAAAATGCTCGATAATTAATCTTGAAAGAATTTTTTTTTCATCTAGTTACCCCTATCGGAATCTCGACCAGAGACAGAGCCGAGTTCTTTGACATCATGATTATGTTCTTTGTATTGAACTGCCTCGTAAAAGTTAATATCATCATCAAGAAAATGTCGGGTTTTCCAGCTGCATTTAGAAAATCCTTTGAAAAATTGCAATAAAATGCCATTAACATCGATATTATAAACAAACAAATAGAATGAATAATTTTAGTATACAAAATAAATTCTTACGATCATCGCGTGGAGGAGGAAACATGTTCGCTATCTTGTCTAATGTATCTTTAACATCATTCTTTATCGCCCATGCCTTGTACATTTTATCTGATTTCTGGTTTAAATAGTTTCGTATCTCTCGGAACAATAACTCAGCGGTTTCATGATCGAGATCAACAGCAGGTGTATTATGATTTTTTGGTGGAGTCGTATCAACCTATTCATACTTATGAGTTTATAAAATTTAAAGAACTAGAGAAAGATATGAAATGCTTACACTTAGTGAAACTCTATATAGACAATGACAACATTGATATTCATGTTGCCTATAATCCGATGGGTGTAATTCTGTGAGTGTTTTGAGGACGAATTTCAAAAATATACCTGTAACGTGTACAAAGGAAAATTATACATAAATCGTATAATATTAAAACTAGAAGAAAATATCTATGTAGTAACAAACCATTATCGATTCCACATATGTGACGTACTCCAAGTTGGTCATGTACAGCCTCAAGGAAGTCAGCAAAGTCATCTGTCACTGAATTTGATACGTATTGTCGTAATAAGTAACAAAACAAAACCCAAGTTCGAACACATAATATATTTAGTGGTTCACTAATTTCTGCTGTTGCTCTTTCCAACTTCATACTGCGAGGAAAAATAACTTCGAGGGCAGTTGAATACAACACATGAAGACATCGTTTGAAAGTTTTTTGATCATTCTTTGCCAGGTCCACTGTGATTAGCGCAGAATTAAATTAATATTTTGCGCGAAAACTTGATACTTTCATCCAAACATACCAAATTTATTGCCAATTGAAAGGCATCTGATCACTTCAACAAGTGATTCATTAACCTGAATATTTGAAAAAAAAAAAATTGAAATTAATAAAAATTCATGTTTTTTTCGATATCATAATTTAAATACTGCCAAATGAAGACAGGGAAATTTTTTTAGATAAAATTTACCTGCTTTCATTTGGCGATACTCATTTTCAACTAACCGAATGAATGGTAGCCCAAAAGTGGATAATCCTGTCCTGACTGATGACATCAGACACAGCATTTTGCAAAAATTTTATAGAATCTGTAAAATGAGAAACTGTGCGTGTCCATTCACTTTGTGACTCATCTCTGCTAGATTCTAAAATACATATTTTATAATTTATGTTTGATAGATTTATGTTTGAATCAAAACCACTATATAGAACATACATAATTAATGAGTATATTGCAATGATAAAAAAAAAAAAAAAAAAAAAAAAATATATATATATATATATATAATTTCTTACCAGTTTACAATTACAATATCATCCTTGTGTTCACCAAAAGCGTAGCTTTGCTTACACTGTTCAAAAGACATAATAGACTTGTCTAACTCTCCTTTCCATAATTCCATTCGAGCAATACACCACCATAATCTATTTAAAGTTATTAGCTAAAATTATCAAATTAAGATATTTTATAATCTAGAAGCACATATTACAGTTATAAGCTTACCGAGCATTTAGTTGAGATGACCAAGTTTTCCATATGTCATAATGATGGCTCCATTCATCACCAATTTCGGAATTTAACGCACAAATACCAGCATTATTCACAAAATCCTGCATATTCCAATATGAATATACAAGGCTTTTCTTACAGATATCTAATGTAGACTGTAATGTCTATTATAGAAATAAAAAACAAAGTTTAAATGGAAACTTATATACTAAAATATATTTATTATTCAATTGACAATTTACCAGAGGAATTTCTTGAACATCTGTAGAAGTTTGTTGGCCAATATACGAAGTAGTAGTTCGAGTACTCATGATTTGTGAATCAGACAAGAATTCACAAATGCCCATAATTATCTAACGAAGATTTTTAAATCTCTTAATTAAAAATAGTTAAAAAAAAAAAACAACTTGGTCATACCTCAGATTTTTGTTTCATCTGTGTAAAAATATTATCCTCACTATCATTCATCATTATCTCAACTAAGTTACTTTTTTCGTCCCAACTAGTACAAGAATTTTCAATCATCTCAAGCAGACTACGATCAATTCTTGAGAGAATCACCCTCGTAACCTCTTTCAAATTATCGGGCCAACGACAAAGCCATAAGGCCTTAAAAGTTCCATCATCAGAACGCACAAAATGTCCGAACAAATGCATAACGTACATACATAAACAATCCAATATTCCAGAATTTATATCATTCATCTTTTCAATAAATGCAATTAACATTGAATGCGCTTCTGGAGAATCGATAAAATATGATGCAGGAACATATGGCTTCGTATTGGGAGTAAACCTGTAAAAACGCGGGTCTGATGTCGCTTTCGGCCTTTTAATGATAAAACGAATATAACATGTATATGCTAAAAATCAATAAAGAAGTGAGAAGAATATATATGCATCAAAACGAACCTTGATGTATTAATTGCCTGTTCTATCATATCTACATGGTCCTCACGAGAAACATGAAAGGTCCAAGCTTTTGTAAAATATTCTAAAAATTTGTCTGTTTGATCATCAATATTTGATAATTGATCATTAAGCCAAAAATCGGGATCTAACTTTGTAATGGTTGATTCTATTTTTTCTGTGAATGCCGAGGCTAATTTACTGCGCTGATTGTTAAAAGTATTAATCTCATCTGTTATCTTCGAGGCTTTCCGATTAACCCTTTTAAAAAAAAAAAAAGACATCAATATTGCAATAATGATCATTTAATACGTTAAAAATTGCAAAGATATGAACCTTAAGTTCATTGATTTATCACTAATGCTATCTGTTGGTACTTCTTTCCTTTTACGTTTTTGAGCAGTGCCATTTAAATCAATGGTTGGTGAAGGTTTAGTGATTTCCAAACCAATTACAATACGTTTACTTGTATGTGTGTCATTTTCCAATTTAATCCGACTATAAACAAATTGTCAAGATGAGCAAAAGAAAATTGAATAGGCTATAATAAATTAAGTGGTGTTTAACGAAAAGCTTACCCGTTCAACATTCCATCATAAGTATCTAACAATAACTCTCCCAACCCCGCCCATGTAGTATTCTGTAAATGAATGTGGTAGGAAGAAACAGTTGCAGAAGTGAAATGGCCTATTTAAAGTATCAATTATAGGTTATACTTTTAACTTTTAAAAAAAGTCTTGACAAAAAAAAATATGTATAATTTACCTGATGATTTAATTCGCCTTGGTACAGTTTCCAACAAAAATGAATGTCTTAAAGGAGGGGCCGTTTCATAATAACTCCTTGATTTAAAATTAAAATAATTAAATCATAAGAAAGGAAAACCTCATATGATGGTTAAAACTGTATTCGGACCAACCTTGGTAATAAAAATTTAACCCATGTATCTTTCAAGAGCTGACTTCTCAATTGATTTAGCACCCGATTATAAGGATCAAAGGTTAAACCTTTATCGATCGCATTCAAACAATTTTGAAATTCACCAAAATCGTATAAAAGCTATCAATTATGCATAATAAGATTATTACATCCGTTTTGACTTAAAAATAAAATAAAATAAAATAAAGTAACTTACACGACAATATTCTTCCAATGCGTCCTTATGGCTAGGTATAAGCATATTGAACATAGAGCATGACTCCTCAGAGTTTACAGATGACGGTATTATGTTAATATCTTCAAGAATCTTTTTAAAAGCCCACAAAGCAGATTCACGATCATTAATCTCTTCAGACATGGCAAGCCTGCCAATCTTTAATCGAATGCTATGATCACTAGGATCTATTTGCAATGCCTGAAAATGATAATAATTTTAGAAGCTATAAAACGTTTAATTATCAAATGTATTTAACATAATTTCGTACCCTCTTATAATATTCAATCGCATTTTGTGCATCCATCATTGTCTTTTGCATCTCATACTCTTTCTCAAATATTTCACCATAATTTCTTAAAATACAATACTTTAATCTAGTTATTCGCTGTGCTAATGGGATACCATTATTATCTGCCTATTAATTAAATAACAATTAAATAACAATTTTAACATTAATGTGTCAAAATTTTGAAATATTACTTGGTATACTGGATTTTTCATTAATTCATTTTTAAGAAGCCGTTTATAAGTCTCTTTTGCGCTATCATGATCGCGACGAAGTGCCAAATTATATTCTTTTTCGCATTCCCGAAACTATAATGAATAAAATCAATAACTAATTTATAATATAATATTATATAATTATGAATTGATTACCGGTGCATCGAGAGGATCCACTAATATCTGGGATTGCGAAGGAGTAGTATCGGCATTTAAAGGGGTGAATTGGATCATCTATCTGAAATTTAATGAAAGAAATAAGTTTTGCTAATATCAATACGAACAACGAATTAATCAATCTAAGGTATGGTCTAGATCGTCTATAACTCAATGTAATTCACCTGATTTGAATCCTTATAACTTTTATATTGAAGGTTATAAAGAAAAGATAATCCTTAATAATGATAGATAAATTAAAGTTACGATTAAAAAAAAATTTAAAGTTTTGAATTTTGTTTGAAAATTTAAAAATTAATTTTCTCGATTCATCAAGGACCTGTTGTGTCGCGCCAATTTTACGATTTGTACGTACGTGTAACAACGACCTGTGATATCTTATTGGTTAATTAGATTAATTGTTCGCGAAAAATACAGTATTTTAAAAAATAACAATTGAGATTATTTTAAAAAACAATTTATTAGGCCATGCAAAATAATTTTTTTGGTTTTCATAACATTAAATTTTAAAACAAACCTGACAACTCGACTTTTTTTATAAAATTTTATATAAAAATTGTATTAATTTTTTTAAGCGATGCGAGATGAAAGGTCGAATTATGCGATGCGATTGGTCCAAATTATACGCTAATTTCAAATTCCAACATTATCGTTATAGTAATAATACTATTTAGCAACTTATGATAATCTCAACAATACAGTAATTAGCTGTAAAACAATGAATTAAAAAATTTAACATACTAAAGACAAATTTTGTGGAATTTTAGTGATTATTTAAATTGAACGATGAGATTAAATAGAATCTAAGCCAATAAGATATAAAACAAGGTGTGATTACTGAGATTAAAAGTGATTTATGAGTAGTGCTCCGAAAAGATTAACTAGAATACCCCAATTTCAGATCATTTTAGCTAAGCTGTTTATGAGTATTTAAGAGTATCACTTAGTTATCACCTAAATTTCATTAATCCAACTAAAAATTTCCTCCCAAATGTCTGCTAAAATTCTATGATTGACAACTTCATACGTTTTACAAAGGCGTTTTCCGCCACTAGCATAAAATCAAGTTTATATTGAGGTTTTTGGTGAGGCTATGGGACGTGTTACGAAAATTACATTTTTACATTTCATGTAATTTAGCCGTGTCGAATACATGATATGTATTGCTTAAAAATATGTACGTACGCAGCGGTTACCATAATATCTAAGAGAAAAATTGGGTTGTTGTCAATAGAAACCAGGCAGATTAACATTTTTTTTTAAAAAAAAATAATACCTAACTTTAAAAACTTATATCTCGATGAATTCTGAAGCTACTTTAATGATTTAAAAGTGAAAATAAAGCTCAAGTCTTAAGCATTATTTTACATTTGAATAATTAAAATAACTTGAAAATTCATCTATATATAAGCTTTTATGTATTATTTTTTTTTAAAAAATGTTAATCTGTGATTTCTATTGACGGCAGCCCAATTCATCGTACTTTTTTTTTACAGACCGGCTAATCGAAAATTTGAAAATTGACCAATCAAAGGCGCCAATTGTGATCGCTATGACCGGATCGTTAAAGGTATAGCGATAAATGACTTGAAATGACCCAAATGACTCAAATGACAAATGACTAGTCATTGGTTATTTCAAAACACAAATGACCTAAGAAGGTCATTTAACTTCTGTTAATTGATAATCTAATGCTGTTTAGCCAATCAAAATTGAGTTTTAGACAAAATTAATTTTTATAAAATATGACCGATAATAGTGGCTACATATAAAAGTCAAAAACTTACTAAGCTAATCAATAATTTCGTCTTAAATAAAGTTGTTCAGGAGAACAAATTTCATATAATATGAAAATTTCGTGTAATTTTAATAACTTTTTATTAAGTCATTTTCACGTTTTATGTTTACACGAAAAAATTTACGTGTAAACATAAAACATGAAAATGACTTAATTAAAATTATACGAAATTTTCAGATCACATGCAATTTGTTCTCCTGAACAACTTTACCTAAGACGAAATTATCGATTAGCTTAGTAAATTTTTGACTTTTTATATGTAGTTACGATTATCGATAGTGAAATAATATCGTTTGATAATTTTTTATATTAGATATCTGACCAATAAAATTACTTCATATGTAAATGACCTAAATGACCTGATGGCCTGGTCATTATTTGATGACTAGAGGTCATTTAAATTTTGGTCAAATGACCAGGTCATTTAACCATCCCTGGCCGGGTGTACTGTACAGAAAAACCATACTTCGTATTTATTGTTATTATTATACGTACGTAGCTGGTGTGGTTTTTCTGTACACCCCTATACCATACTGGTTCGGTTGCCTACACCATATTGATTTGCGTAAAATTGCACTCTCATATTTGATATCTAATATGCACTATGTACGTACATTTAGACCTCATAAATGCGCATATTAAAAAGGTTTCCCTCTGTCGATAACAATTAATATAACAAAACATAGAGCAGTTGTAGATTTTAATCTCTGAAGATGAGTTATCTCTTTAAATACATGTTTGACCAATTTTTTATGTATTGCATTTCTAATTGCGTATATAAATTGCAAATTTTTTCTTTTTTTTTTTTTTTTTGTTTTTTTTTGTGATTCTCTTTATTTAAAAAAATGATAAATAAAACGCTTCAAAATGTTCAACATTTATTGAATTTCTATTATCACCTTGACTTTTATTATATCAATTCTGCTTTTACTATGCCTATTAAGCATCTGAATAAACGTCAAAGTATAGTTTTAAATATTTACTTTTTAGTGTTTATTTTGCTAGCCTTTTATGAGGTGAGCGAAAATTGCTTATTTATTCTAAGAGGTACCGAATAAGTTGTAGTCGATGATACCGTCAACCCTCCATATACAGTATAACCTCCCTAAACCGATATGCATGGTGGCTAGCTTTTGTATCAGTTTTGACAGGTTATCAGTTTTGAAATACTAATAACCTATTAGCTATATAGCTTTAAACAAATATGATTGGCTATATTTATTTCTTATATTTATAATATGTTATATAAAATCTAACTTGAGCCAATCAAATCAATTTATTTTACCTATCAAATCTTGATATCTTATAAATATTAATTTTTAAGATTTGACTTATAGAACAGACATAGTGGCTCAATTTTTTATCAGTTATCACAGGTTATCAATTTAACAGAATCAGTTTTGGGAGATTATACTGTAATCACATCATAGGTTTATTTAATATATAATAAAAAACCCTCTATATAAGCACAACCTCTTTATAAGCACATTTTAAAAAAAAACTTACTATGTGCCTAACTGTGTAATTATATGAAGGGACGACTGTAATTGATTTCTTCATAGTGATATCTGGTGAATCAATTATCATCTGCAATACGTAACAAGTGCTTATCGCTACGTGGTGAGTATAAAATCAAGTTTTAAAATAACTTAATATTAACAAAAAACTTAGATAGTGATGATGAGTATAAAATTAATTTATAAATTGAAATTTTGAAGTATCATTGCTGCCGATTCTGTTCAGACCCAAAAATTTAAATACGACCCTAAAAATTTAAATTACTTATAATTCTCACGATATTGATATATGTTTATATGGATCAATACTAGAGATGTACCTCGCGTGAGATAACAAAATCTCATTCTCGCAACTTCATGCACCTTGCGCAAGATGATGTCAACCTTGCGTGAAGTAAAATTATTCGATTAAGATAATTTTAATAATCAGTGAGTTATC